CGTAACGGTAGTAACAGCGGCAACAGATAAGACAGATTTCTGTCATCAGAATTAGGTTATCTTAAGAAAAAATGAGACAGAACAATATATGTATCTTTTTTAATGTTGCTATTCTAAATTGATGATTTTTATTCTTCCATTTTTTCGAAATAAAATGAGCTTGTTTTTTTGTTTTTTCTCCTTTATTTTTCTTCTACGGCATTGTCATTAGCAGAAGAGATAAATCATTAATTGATATCATTTGGTTTAAAATCTCTTTTTTTTTCTTATAGTTAAAGGCAACTACAGTTTATTGTTTAGTGTTGCAGTGAAATTTATTTCTATCTTTTAGTGTTTTTTAAAATAAGAATTTGTCAACAAAGTAATGTGTAAAAGGTGAGAATGAATGAAAATTGAGGAAGAGAAGAGATGGATGAAGGGGAAGAGATACCAAGAAGAAAAAAAGTAGGGGGACGAAGAATATGGAAAAGAAGTTACTGATAATAACGATTGGTCATTGAATTGTTTGTTTTGGTATTGTCTGTTTTGATATATTACACCTATGCAGTTTTTTTTGTTGGTTATGTTAGTATCACATAAAACATTATTTTGTTGTAAAATTGTAATGTCAGTTTCAGTTTTTTTTTCTTTTTGTTTTTTCTTTTTCTTTTTCCTTTCTACCAAAAAAAAGAAGTGTTTTTTTAGTTTTTTACTACCTTTTGCTCATCTTGACGATGTTCATATGACACATTTTGACTCATTAAGCTTTTTTTTTTGAGGCTTTTTTCACCTGCTTAAAACTTTTTTATTCGATATTGATGTAAGTGGTTTTTATTGCGCTGTTGAGCATCCTTTATAGCTTCCTTTTTTTAAGGTTCAAATACAGGGAAACGTGGGCACGGGGATTTGGATAAGGGCCTCAATGAACGAGTAGGAAGTAATGACGTTAAAGTTGAAAGGTATACGTTTGGAAGCAGAAGTGGATAAATGTCGAGCGGAGTGTAACTGGAAACGTTTGGGCGAACTGCTGCCAGCCATTCGTCAAAAGCATAGTGGTCTTGAGGAATACGGCGATGTTTTTGAGGCTGAATATATTATTGAAACTTTTGTTGAGAAGCACAGTGGTAATTATTTTCGTTTTTTTAAAGTTTTTTT